TGGCGAGGCGGCCGCCTCGCCAAGATAGTGCTGCGGGAAACACTGCAATACTAACATTACATTATCACACCGTACTCTCAGTCACTCAGTAACTTAGCCTGTGAATTCCTAGCTAGCAGTTACTAGCGTAAACAAATAGGCACTAACGTTAACGTGTATTAGGCTACTTCAGTTGTCTTACTTAAAAGTCTATGACTTACTCGTCATGTGACTCGAGAGCGCAGACTCGCCCATTGTGAAAAGCTGCACATCTTTTTTTGCAGACTTTAGAAGAGGCAACTCGTGGGGTTTGTCCCCGTTTAATCCATAATTTGTATTTTTCATCTGCCAGCCAACGTTCATTGAATCGACAGCCTCCCGGCACGGTGCAGTAGTGCTTTCATGGGGGCGGAGTCACACATGGAAATAGACTGGCAGATTGCAGTCACACATAAGCGAGCAGGTTTCATTTTCGGGCTCTCCAACATTTTATTTCTCCATTTAATAAACACACGATTCAGTTAGATAGGTATGTCGCGAAAGAAATAGTTACAATTTCAAACATTTCATCCAAAATATAAGCACTTTTTAAACCTTGAAAACACAACGTCAAAATGCAAGCGTTTTCAAGGATTTCCAGCACCCGTACGAACCCTGCGTTTACTGATGCCTAAATTAACTTGAAATGTCAAAACCTTTCCTACCATCCTCTGACGAATGTATTCCGTTACGTACCAAGGAATGTTTAGCAATGTATGATCATGTTTTTTGTTCTCCAAAAATATATTTTTGAGGTGGGAAAAAATGCTTCTCTACTCACTTTACTTCCAGCCGTCTGCTGGGCTTCGGCTCTGCCTCGCTAACGTACCTTCGTCTGTGACGTTTTCGATCCCGGAGTCCTCCAGGAGGTAAATCCTGAGATTTATGGAGCCGTCTGCTTCGCCACCCTGAGGCCTTGAATAGGAATTTATGTCAGAAAATTTGACAAACAATAAATTAATCAAATAAATAAACACAAAAGAGACTAGTTAACATCAAACCAAACCAGAAATCAATTTCCAAACTAACTAAAATGACCTGAACATTAATAGAAACAAAACCGTTCACCCGTCTGTCGTATATACAGCGAGATAAATAACATCAATTATGTAAATTGACTTTGATGGGGATCATTTCTGATGGAATCAAAGGGAATCAGTAAAAGTCAGTTTGGAATAAAGCGTCCAGAACAGAAAACAGACTCACAGGTTTTCCGCTGCCGTCCAATTTGATGCGGATGAAAAGTCGTTCCTGTCTTCTTTGTGATCAGCAGCCTTGTTCACCTTCTTTTTTCTCCCTCTGATCGAGCGATCTTTCTGAGAAAATAAAACGGATCCACCGAGAAAAATAAAAAACCCAAATCTTTTTCCAACGCTTCCTGACCTTTTGATAAGGAACCAAACACTGTACCTTCACTCGGACGTAGAGGCTAGAATCCCCGACGGCGGCGCTGATCCCCTCTGGGGTGACGGGCTCCAGCTTCAGAGGCAGCAGCTTTCTGAGGCTGTCGGTGACGAAATACTCCAGCGGCTTCTCTGTACGCAGCTTCGGGAAGGTGGACCTCAGCAGCTTCAGTAGCTCCGCTTCCTGCATGCCGCGCGGACACCTGAGCTTCCTGGGTTTGCACCTCCTCAGCACTGAAACGGAGGAAAGCTGAATCAAGCAGTCGATCACAGGAATGAAATTACTTCCTATTGTGAGATGAAATATTAGAGTCTGTCTTTCCTTCTAGAGAAATCTTGTACCAGTCTCTATGCTGGAATGTTATGCAGGGAGTTAGGAGTCGAGATGACAAGAGTGAAATATAGATACATGCTCTTAAAGGTGCTTAAGACTCCCTCATGCCGTGAACGGAAGACAGCTGTTGTGAAGTGTTTATCTGGCTAGTGAAAAATCTATGTCCTTGTTTCTTTCCCCTGGGAGTGTGAGTGTGTGTTGAGAGTTGTATAAAAAATATGTACTGAGCTTTTTCCAGTCAGAGCTTTTTCTCTCCGTCTGCAAAGGTAAAAATAAAATTAAGCCTTCCTTGCAAGAATTGCCTGAAGTTTCAGTTTTTCCACAACTTCACATTGTCCACACTCGTCCTAAAAAGATTCTGTAAGGTTTATTCAATGATGATTATAAAGTTAATGTGTGTGCATATAAAACATTGAGGAAATTAGATGCTTCACTTGTTTACTGGAAACTGTCATGCAGCAGTGGTGGAAAATTACTGATGTTTGTGCAAGGCTAATCACAGTTATCAGATTCAGTAAGTGGAGCATTCTGTCCTGTGACCTGATCAATTGCCTTGTCAGAAGAACACTCAGTTTTGTAACCCACCCCATGTGTTAATAAAAAGGCTCTGCAGAGGAAGTCCATTAGAGAGTTAGAGAGTTGGGTGTAGCTCTCTCCTTCTGCAGAAGCTGTTAAAAATCCCTTTTCTGTGTAAAGTCAGTTCCTCTTTTACGAACCTACATTTTTGAACCTAACAGATTCAAACTGGAAGATGCGGTTCAGACACCTTTTACCTGAACCCGTTGTAGTTGGATGTTTTAAAGTCACAAACCACACTGAAAAATATTTGCTTCTTACCCAGATAAATAAACTCTGATTTTTGAAGTGTTGGATAATTGGTGTGGTTTTAAGATGTCATTTCTAATTTTAAGTCTTCAACATTCTTATTTCTAGATTTTAAAATGTAAAAAAATAAAGAAATCTGGTCAAGTGAAATTATCTTACTGCTTGGACACATAATTTCACTTCTTATAAGTACCTTTTTCCAGGATTTAGTTTTTTTTTCCTTATTTTATACGCCTCTTTTTTTCTTTTTTGCCGGGCAGTAGCCTATGGATCAATAGAGGGAGGGTCACCAAGGTGCATTACCATCTGCTTATCATAATTAATACATCATTTGTCGAGCTTTATTTTCTCTTTTGTTATAACTCAATGCACTTTTATGAAACATTACTGCATTTAAAGAAAAAGTCCGGTCATATTCAGAATCCAAACCTCTGAAAATACTTTAAATATGAAATTATTCCATACTGTTCCATAAATGATAAGTATTTTAATTAAGGGAAATTTTCATTTGAATGTGCTTTACTGGAGGCATCCATGTTTGTGAAAGAACACTACTGTCAACAACCGGTTTGTGACATCACGGTGCAGTATCGGCTGTTGATCAAGTCCCAGTGCTGTATCGGGTGTTTGACACAATGCGCTATTATCCAAGTCATCTTGAAAACATTCTTCTTCCAAATGTTGGCTACATGTTACAGGTTTTTTCTCTGGCCGGAAGTTCGATGGCAAATCCTCCCTCTTCAAGTTGGCGATCCAACGACCAACCCGTCCGTGGAGGATCAGGAATCAGAAAGGTGAAATAACTCTTTTTTTTTCACTTTTATCCGATGTAATCCAGCTGCCATGGACGTGGGCATTGTCAGTTTCACTATAGCTCTGGTGAATTTCAATGGTGAAGTCCTCTGGAAATCTTCAATAATTGTTGTTGATTGCAGATGTGTCTAGTAGTTACCATTGATTTTGCTTGTAAAGCGGGGAGAATGGCGCTAGGCTTACCGCACCGTGACGTCACTGCTGGAAGATGGCAGGAGTGAGGTGTTTAGGTATAAATAATGATCCATTGATTATTCCTTGCTGACCGGACTTCTCCTTCAAATAGTTAACTGCGGTTTTATTCCGCATGATATCTTTAAAGACTGAAATGAGGACGCATTAGGAGGCGAAACTGATTGAAGCTGGGTGCGAATTAGGTCATTATCAGGGTTCATACAGAAATACCAGTCTGTTTTAAATTTACTACCTATTTTACAACCTCTCCAATATTTACAACCAATATAAAATCAATATGCTGATGAAGATTCTCAGTCTTCCAGGTCATAGTCATTCCGTAAAATATCCACTGGACTTGGTTTCCAAGATTTGAAGACGTTTCGCCACCTGTCCAGGATACTTTCTCAATTCAAATGTCTGGATCCGCAGTGAGTTTGAGTCTATATATAGACAAGGCCTTGTATTGCTTGGAAACATGCAAGTGGTAACCGATGAGTGGGTCGTTTGGTACGATTGTTAGCCTGTAATATCTGCAACCTGTCTATGGGGGGAGGGGGGGTCGTTAAAGGGGGGATAAAGTCAAGCATGTGTTTTGCTTACAACCTCCTCATGCATGAGGGCTTTTGGCTCTGTAGAGTCAGAAGATGTTTTGGAGCAGCTCCCCAATCCAATCTTTAAAGTATGAGTGACGCTTAGTTTTTAAGATGCAGAGGAGCTCAGCTCAGAGAGCTGAAATGCTAATTTTTGTCTTTAATAAGTTGCTTAATGCAAACAATGCCAGCCATATTGTTCAGTTGCAGAAGCACTGTCAAACTTCTCTGACTTTTCACCCCCTGTTATTCTATTCTATTTTATTCCAGCTTATCTTGCGTTTACCTTGTGTATCATCTTTAGCAGACTCTTGTGAAAGTATTCTTTTGCAGGTGCCAGGAATTGAATGTTTTTAATGTGTATAACTCAAGGTCACTGCCTGCATGAAGAAATGTATGTGTATCACTATATGCTGCTGCAACTGCCTCCCCTTACATTCCTTTGGAGTTACAGCATGATCTATTGTAACTACGGAGTCCCTTTTTCCAACAAAGAGTGAGGAAGACAGCAGAAGTGCTTTGGGGAAAAGGGAGATTGTAACTTATACCATCTCTGCTGCTCTCCTCTAGAGTAAAAGGAATCTAACGTCTCTTGTTCTTCTTCCCCAGATTTTTTGAGAAGTTTTTGGGTCTTTAAACCTAACATTTTATTGGTCCTTCGAGCCAGATCCCCATTGAAATGGACTCCTGAAGCAGGGGAGGCCTTTTGCAGACTTAAACAAACCTTAGTGTCTGGCACAGCTGCATAAACAGCTGAATTAGTAGCAGAAACTGAAACATGTAAGGTAATGACAGGGAAAAAAGCAACCATTTCTACTGACGGCCCGTATGCATTATCCAGAGTTCACACTGAGGTTATAGGAAGCTGAGGAGGAGGCATTTCTTGCAAGAAATAAGGTTCAAATTTATTTAATGTCCTCGATGGGGAGATAGGGCTCTATGACTGCGGCAAGCTCAGTACATTTACACCTTACAAAATCATACACACGCCCCCCAGGGAAACCAGCCCACCCCCTGCATAAAGAACTTTCTCACACATGGAAATTTGGGTATTCCCCAAAAAAAACACAGTAGCACATGCAACATTGCTAACAGGTTTGTTAGCTGATGTGCAGTTACCAAGAACCATAGCTATATAGGAAAATGTGCAGCACACACTTTAGGGACAGATAAAACCTCTTGAGGAAATGCATTTGCAGATAAAACAGCAAAAGCAGCAACTGTGAGACAAATGCAGATATTGACTAAAGAACAAAGTACTAATCTAGACCTGACAATTTTAAACGATATGCAACAATAATATCTCCTCAAACAAGAAAAATATTTGTGGATAAAACGTTTAGATTAATTACAAGATGACATTTTTGTATGACCAGATAATAAACCTATCCTACCAAAGAACTTATACAAATGGGCAGCTATATTTAGTTTATTACACGTCTCAACAGGAGGGATTGGTCTCAGAGATACACTTATTATGCAACCGATGGATTTAATTCTTATTAAAAAATGTTTTACTTATTCAAAAAAATTTACTTAAACAAACATTTTTGAAAAAAGGAGTAGCTTTGCTGAATATAAAACAAATCGTGTGTGTTTGGGTTGTTATAGATACTCCAATATCCATCTATCTATCTATCCATCCATCAATCCATCCATCCAGGTTTCTCCCTTTCTCCATATAGGCTAACATTTTATCGTTCTCGCTCTCCGTAGTTCCCCTGTGGCGCGAGCACAGGGTGCCTGTTACGCGTCTTTAGCGAGCATGCGCGTTTCATGTCGCTTGCGCGGTGAATCGTGCCGCCTGCGCTGTGCGGAGATGCAGGGGAACCCGTATCTGATGGGGAAACGCAGCTCGACGTAACACCAGTATTTCCATGTGGAAAAGGCTGTTTTTCCTCTTTCCTCCCACAGAACCCCGAACACTGCCTTTCTGAACCTCACCTGCGGCTCCCGTTCTGAACTGATCTTATTTGTGTGTAGTCTAATAAACATCTTAAAATGCTCCTGGTTCCCCTGCCTGTGTCTGCATGTGGGCAAAACATCCTAAAAACCATTACAAACTTATGTCAATAATTCGTCTTGTTATTTGGTATGTGCCTCCAACACAGATGGATTGTTGTTAACTGTTTATTTGACCTTTAGGGCTGTGATGTCCCCAGCATATTTATCACAGTCTCCAATGGAGGCGTGGGGACATCTAAGGGTGGGGTACTACTGATAAGAATGTAGACAGGATCCTCCATTATAACGTCCAAATGTTGGCAGTTGGACACAAAATGGTTTTTGAAGCAGTTCATGATCATTTGGCTGCAGCCTCCTTTATGGATTATGGATAAGCATTTTGGTCACTGATTACAGGCTGTATCAGGTCAAAGGTGACCCTTTAACAAACAGATCATCACTAAATGTACAGTGTAAATATTTATCCAACACCAGTTTGTCAAATAAATAAAAAGGAGACGAGCCGTCCTGACCGGAACAGGAGTCGGGTTCAGGAAGAATGAACTGAAACCTCACCTGATTTTGTGACCACCTCGATGAGACTGTTGTCCAGAACACGGACGCTGAGGACGATGGTATCGGGTCTGCTCTTCTGATCAACGGGATTCTTCTGAGGAGAAGGAAGAGCAGGAGGAGCAGGAAGAGGAGGAGCCTCGTTTCTGAGACAAAGAAATGGGAATGATTAAAACAAAGGATGAAAACTAAGCTTAAAAGATCCACTGCCAGCGTCATCGCTCACCTGGTGTCGCTAGGAGATTGAGTTTGGATGAGAGAAGCATCTTCGCCGTAACTTTCATTGTCAATGGGAGCGTGCTCTTCATGACATCCTGCTTCCTCCTCAGGGGGACACTGAATGAAAAGTGTCTAATTTTACCAATTGAAACCTTTATTTCAGCCTTTATTAACCAACCGGTGCATTCACTCTCTATACTCTCTGCTTTGCAGGTGTGTTACTTTTATTCGGATGTAGAGGGCAGAGTTTCCGGCTGCCCTGCAGATCTGCTCCGGTGTAAAACAGTCCACCTTCAGAGGCTGCAGCCTCTTGGTAGAGTCGGCAATAAAGGACTCAAAGGGAATGTTGGCGGCCAGCAGAGGGAAGGTGATCCTCAGAACCCTCAGGAAGTCTTCCTCACGCAGGCCTGAAGGGCACCTCAGCTCGTGAACCGGGTAGTCTTCGTCCACTAGAGCAGAGGGAGGCCAGATTAGGAGAGAGGAAGCTTAAAATAAAAAAGAAATAAAGCACAAGAGGAACAGGATCTCTACCTTGGTCTGAGATTGCCTCAATGGTCCAGTCCTCCAAGATGCAGATCTTCAGGTCCAAATAGTTTTCTAGACTGGAAGAGTGAAAGAAATCCTCTGTAATGATCCACAATGCAACACTATAAAAGCCATAACTTCCCCCCTAATCTAATGTGTAATTACTATTCAATACCCTATGCAATAACCTGTTTTTATCTTAGATAACCAGTCCTTTATATATATATATATATATATATATATATATATATATATATATA